CTCGCCCTCTTCCCGGCTTCCACTGCGTTCTCGTCCCCGGCCTCAGCCAAGGAACCTGGGCTCCGCTCGGTCTGTGCGGGCTGCCGGATGACAAGCAAGACGCGGCCCGTCCGTGAGCCAGAGGCGTCCTGAGCCAGGCGGCGGGAAGCAGCGCCCTCTCCCGGCAAGGAGGACCCGACGCGGACACCTGGAGGAAGCGACTCCTTAGCCCTGACAGCTGAACGCCTGGAAAAGCTTTTCCAGCCAAGCATCTTTCGCACCGCGAACAAGAGGGGAAAAAGTTGCCACGCCGCGGGCAGGAATCCAGTCACTCCAGGCCAAAGGGGTCGTTGGAAATGATTAAGTTCAACTTTTCTAAGCCCTACCAGAAAGGATTGGGAGGAAAGCGAATAGTCAAAGCTATGGTTTTTCCTGTAGTGATGTATGGAAGTGAGAGGTGGACCATAAAGAAAGCAGACCGCCGAAGAATTGATGCCTTTGAATTGTGGTGCTGGAGGAGACTCTTGAGAGTCCCCTGGACTGCAAATTATTCAGAGCTTTAAAGTTCAAACCATCATCTTAAATTGGTCCCAGAAGTAACCCAGTGTCAGATGGCAGTTCATCAGAATCAGTATAATATAAGAACATTTGGGCATACTCATTAACAATCTTAGCAAAGAAAAATAAGAAGCTTGCTTATATCACATAACACAATTGGCCTGTCTAATCCAGTATTGTCCTTTTTACCTGCCAGTGACTCTCCAGTGTTTCAGGCAGAATTCTTCCCTAAATATTCCTGATATTCCCTGGTGGTTTCCTTTCTAACTAGCAACCAGCCTTGATCTAGCTTAGGTTCTAAAATTAACTGGGATTGGATATGTCCAAGGAAGTATGCTGGCAAGTAGCCACATTCTGCAGCAGCTGATGTTTCAAGTTTGCCTTAAAGGATAGGCCTATGCTGAGTGCATTATGGCAGTCCAGTCACTCTTCCAGTCTAGTCAACACAGTGGCCCAATAAGCCATGTCCTAAAATGGTTATAACTGGTGGACTTCGTTGTTTAGTCATGTCCGACTCTTCGTGACCCCATGGACTAGAGCACGCCAGGCCCTCCTGTCTTCCACTGCCTCACGGAGTTGGGTTAAATTCATGTTGGTCACTTCAATGACACTGTCCAAACATCTCGTCCTCTGTAGTCCCCTTCTCCTCCTGCCTTCACACTTTCCCAACATCAGGGGCTTTTCCAGGGAGTCTTCTCTTCTCATGAGATGGCCAAAGTACTGGAGCCTCAGCTTCAGGATCTGTCCTTACAGTGAGCACTCTGGGATGATTTCCTGTAGAATGGATAGGTTTGTTCTCCTTGCAGTCCAAGGGACTCTCAAGAGCCTCCTCCAGCACCACAGTCAAAAGCATCAATTCTTTAGTGATAATGGATAGGTTTGTTCTCCTTGCAGTCCAAGGGACTCACTACAGGGAAAACCATAGCTTTGACTATGCGGACTTTTGTTGGCAAGGTGATGTCTCTGCTTTTTAAGATGCTATTGAGGTTTGTCATCACTTTCCTCCCAAGAAGCAGGCGTCTTTTAATTTCATGGCTGCTGTCACCATCTGCAGTGATCATGGAGCCCAAGAAAGTGAAATCTGTCACTGCCTCCATATCTTCCCCTTCTATTTGCCAGGAGGTGATAGGACCAGTATCAATGATCTTTGGTTGTTGTTTTTTTATGTTGAGCTTCAGACCGTTTTTTGCACTCTCCTCTTTCACCCTCATTACAAGGTTCCTTAATTCCTCCTCACTTTCTGCCATCAGAGTGGTATCATTTGCATATCGGAGGTCGTTGATATTTCTTCCGGCAATCTTAATTCCGGCTTGGGATTCCTCCAGTCCAGCCTTTCGCATGATGTATTCTGCATATAAGTTAAATAAGCAGGGGGACAATATACAGCCTTGTGGACTAGACAAAATTAATTAAAGGTTCTTACAGCCAAAGAGGCTAGTGAGGCCCCAGGTAGATCAAAAGCATAGTGTCAAGCTACACAGCTACTTTTTCAGTGATAAGGGGCACAACTCTGTCAAGAACAGTGTACAAAATCAGTTCTGTGATTCAGGCAACCATTTATTGGCCCTTATTCAGGACATTACAAATTGAAAACAGTGCTTTAGCACTGCACAGACACACTAAATTCAGATAACAAAGAGATACAGTATAGAGCTAAGCATCAGTGAGTTGTTGAGATCTTACTCCAAGTTCTATGCTGATCCCATCAGGCAACTTCATATAAGTGCTACAAAGCATGGAGAGTCTGATGGGATTTTGTAGCACTTTGCACTACAGGTGCCATGGGGCTGAGTTAGAACCTTCCATCCACTGGAGGCAGAACTACCTCCACCCCTTTCCTCACATGCCACTACTACTTGAAAAGGAAGAGGCAAGCAGTGCAGCAGCCTGCCTTTTCTTAAATGCCTGTGTGACACTTTTAAATTGTATGGGGCTATTTGCTTACTGTTGATGAATCTTGCAAACACAGTTTCACAAAATAAGTCTCTTCATATTACATTTATATAATAGCCAACATGAACATTTGTAGCAACAACAAAACGCTGCAGTTTGTGCACCTAAGCCCTTGGCAACAGCACCAATACAGAAGTTTCATGTAAAATTTGCAAAGTTCAAGTGTCCCTTGGATTTCAAAGTCAGACAAAAATCCAAGGTATCTTCCTCAACTGGGTTGGGTATCCATAACACAGGAGAATATTCAAACCCTAAAATAAAATATTAATACAAATGTATGCAGCTCATTAATTTAGTAGGTAGATTCACCCCTCTATCATAAACATAAAAATTATACCAAAACCAAATTGGCAAGGGCCTTAGTAGTCCAGGTGACAACAGCAGCTCTGGCCTCTTCATCTCACCCACTCTTTCTGAGATTCAGACCTCTTACTCACAGCCCTTCTCTTTCTTAGTCTCATCTCTTGGACTGAACCAATATTTCATAGTGGTTACATCTGGTTCTGAGATGTCCTCAGAGGCAAGGCATGATGGAAAAGATGTCCAGAGAAATTATCACTGAACTTGCTGCACCGTTTACCTCCTCCAGCAGCAGATGTGGTGTTCAGTGGAGAGGGCAGGGATGCTGCTGCTGTGTCTAGTGGGGGGGTGCCATTTTCTCTCTAGCATAGCGATGTCATCATGGCTCTTTGCTTCCCACAGAACCTGGACTATTGCCATGGCAAATGATTCCATAGACGATGTGCTAGATCCTTCTGTACCAACGACGGCACCAAGGCTACATACAGCAAATATTAACAAAGAACTAAGTTCCCCTTATATGTATTGTTTATCAAAATATTTCATGGAAAGATTCAATTGCTACAATATGCTGTTGATGGAACTCCCGTAGAGTGTTTGAGAAGTTTGTCTAGGACACACTGTGATGGTCAGAATACTTTCTGGCATGTTCATTTTTGGCTGTATTACACTAAACATACATCAATCATAATGGCTTCCAGTTTATTTCCCGGTGCAACACAAGGTGCTGTTTCTTACCAGTTATAGTCAAAAATGGTTTGAGGCCCAGATACCTGAAAGGTTGGCCTGTTGCATATGAATGTGCCTGTGGTTTAACATCTGCTATAGAAACTGATGGCATACACCTTATATGTGGTGACACCCTAACTCAAAGTCTCCCTACTAGGCATGTTGGACTGACTGCTTCTTAGTTGTAGACAGACCGAACCATTAAAACATGTTTCACAAGATTTTAGAATGATTTTCAATCTTGATTTTTTTAAGAATTTAAAAATCTCTTATCTGTATATTTTGACACTCTTTAAAGTTCTTGAAATTAGCATCTGTTTTTTGTATGATGAGTATTTGATTTGGTCAGAAGAGTAATTCTAAAACTAAATAAAAAGGAAGGAAAACATTATAATCTATAGTAACAGCTAGAGCTGTCTTGCTCTCTGTGGCTACAGGAAAAGCACTGCTATGTTGTCAACTGTCATGGCTTCCTCCCTCCTTATATGCCTCAGGTGCCCATCCAACCTGCACCCACCCTAAATGGTGCCCTCTTTCTCCTCCTGCTTTGGCTTGCCTTTCCTTGTTTCACCTTGCCTGCTTGCCTCATTCTCTTGCCATTGCTACTAGCCCTCAGTGGTAATCACAGCCAAGCACATGAAGCATGGCCACACACAACCCTCTACAGAGCAAACCAGGGGCCATGTGCTAGTCATCAGAGACAGGCCTTGTGTGTGGGCTGACCTTGGAGACTTGTGTTGATAAGGAGATCTTCTCCAAGGCTCTGAGGTAACCTCCCAGCACACCCTAAGACCCATAAGGCCTGGCTCTGAGGTCCCCTCTAAGCCCAGTATTTGGAGCCTGGCCTGTTCTGAAGTGGGTGGAGTTGTAATTAGGACTAGCCTTGCTTCCCTTCCAAATAGGGTTGCTGACTTTTCAGCTGGTCCTGTAAATGAATTTACAGAAATACGACATTAGCAGGTTATAATTCTTTATTGTTCTGTAGGGGGAAACCCCACTTTATGATTTCTGAAGAGCAGAAAGTGCTAGAACAGGCTGGGCAGCTGAAAATCATTGTCATCATGATCATCGTCATAGAACTGCAGGGCTGAAGGGACCCTATAGATCATCAAGTACAGGCCCTGTTTAAGGAACCACACTGGGCAATGGAACTCCCAACCTCTAGCTTTGCAGCCAGAGACCTAAACCACTGAGCTATCACTTCTCAGCAGCTTGTTGCGTGAAATAATGCAGACACATCCTAGGGGGAAGCCAGCTTCTCCTGTACCCTTTTTTAATAGAATCCCTCATGACAGAAAGTTAATGTTGCTGGAAAAATACAATCTTGCTTGCGGAACCCCAAGTACTAACTGTTTCAGCCCAGTGAGTGGGGAAGCTTTATGAAGAGTCCGTAACTC